ATTAAATTATTATGGACGCTGTTCAACAAATCGAACTGGATAACAAATGATTTACGTTATACAATATAATTTACGGTAATAAATATTTTAATAAAATATTGATAAATGTAAGAAAAATATTTATACATTATAATATATACATTTTAGTATAGCAATTTTCATGTCCCAATGTTAGGTCTATTGAATTGTTATTCCTTTAGCAATTGTAATATCCTTCATTAATTTCTTATTGAATTTCGGGAATCCTATTATTGTATTTATTATTATATTTATTATGTTCATTATTAATTTGTTATTTTTTCCTCCAAAAAATACACAACTTTCCCAATTTTTCTATTAATGCTGTAAATCTCAATGTCTCCTTGATGATTTATGTATGTACATCCGTCTTACTAAAGGTTTCGCTACAGTCAGTATGTCACAGTTGACGTATTGACTCGCTCTCCATTTTTACTATGAAACAAGCCTGTGCTACAGTAAAATGTACAACAATATAAGATTAAAAGGCTTTAATAACTAAATAGCGACCAATATGTGTATAATGTAAAATAAGTTAATATTTTCGATAATCGCGCGGATCTTTATGTCTAATAATAATTTCTCTGAATTTTATATAATTCGTTTTTCTTAGCTTATTATTGGAATCATGAGCCGATTATACTTTCAGTCGTAAAATTTTGTAGCCAACGTTTGTATAACTATCTGCAATATGAATTATAAATAAAATTTTGGCTTTTTAGACTTTGTTAGGTTTTGTAACTATCGAATTAACTCTAAGATCGATTGAACTGTCGAAATGCAGTAGGCAGAGCAGCCTTATCCAAATAATCTCTATAACCGATAGAGAGAGACAGCATATAAAATCATCCAAGCTGCGTCATGTCTCCCTTCGCACTAAAAAAACCGCAATCTATTAACAAAGTAAATCGTCTTACTCACAGGAACAGCAGAAAGTATAATGAATATTTGTTTTACATCCAGTCTTCATAATGTCACATTCAAGTATGGTAATAGTACCGAAGTTCTACATAGGAACAATAGCCTTTACTATATTAACACATATAAGTTAAATTCAATTTGAATGCAGCTAGATCTTGCAATTTGCAGAAAGGCAGATCCATTTATGCACTTACATATGTTGTGGCACTGATCCTGTAAATACCCATCCTGATACGACGATGTTCTGTAAACTGGAATAAACTCTTATTCCCCTTTCGAGTCTCAACGGCCATCTGCCAATGTATCGTTGATTGACAAAGGTTCGCAGTACAATATTACACAAATACATAGTATCATTTCCATGTGATTAATAAATATGACATATAGATGAAGATAATTGCGAATTGAAGATTTTTTTAATGCTGATAAAATATTGCGTGACATTATTTTATTCTATTATCTTTGCTTTATAATTTTTTGTTTATACAATGATAAAACCAGAGTGTTAAATGTTACAGATTTATTTAATAAACTTCATATATTAGTAATGTTGGATATATTCCATTACATTTTAAATATATGCATTTTTAATTTGTAAATACGTTATGTAAAAACTACTTACTGAATATTTATACATATTTATATTAAATTTATGCATTGTATATACATTAAAATATATTTCTACTATAAATATATTAAATATATTAAATATATTAAAATATAACATTTACATTAAATTAGGAATTAATACTCTATTATTTTAATATTTACTTATTATATTTTAATATTATTGTTGTTATCAATTATTGGCGACGTAGTTTCTGTTGTTTAAATAAAGATAACATTTCTGATGTATTGCGCGCTTGTTATGAATTCTGTAATAAAATTGCTCTATCACGTCAGGTTTTTGAGAAAAGTGAGTGGTTAAAGGTATCATAATTAACATGTTTTTTTGACATATTTGCGATTTTTTTTGTTAGCGATCAAGTAAATTTTTTTCTCTATTTTTGTTTACGCCATCTTGAAGTGCCAACAGTTATATCTTTAAAATATATATTTTTTATTGCTGTACGTGTTTTTTTCACCGAGTTAATCTCTGCGTAGTCACACCAAGAAAATATTTTGTGCCAAAAATATTTTTGAAGAAAAAGTTTTGAGAATTGTATAATAATTTTAATAGCAAGATTTGTAAGGTCACTAAATATCCGAATTTGAAGTTAGATTTTTGAAATTCAAAATATCGGATCCAATATGACAGATCAAAAATTTGTAATCG